AAAATAAATAAAGAACTCAGCAAGACAATAACAACTGAGGAAAAAAAATAAATCGAACACAAAACATTGGTAGATGTGTCACACACAATGAGGCTCTTCTCTCCAAACTCTATTCATCCACTGCTGAATTTGAATGAGACGACTGCCACTCTTCTTGAACTCTGCTGTGGCCTTGTCTGACCATGAAAACGATGTTGACTGTCACAGAAATAAAAAAATAATAATTTCAAAAAATATTCACAAACTCTCATTTCTAGTTTGGAGTTTCATCAAGATTTTTTTGTGGGAGAGGTAATAAGATATTACCATAAAACACAGTCAGCAGAGACAAAACACCAAATGAAATCTACACATAATCAATACGGACACATCTTGACGACCAAACATAATTGAAATGCAAGAAAAAAAAATATTAAGAACATATAATAGGAAAAAAGATTGATTGCATCACTGTTTGACAGAACACTGATGACTGCAGCACACACTCCAGGGGTCCGTCATCTAAGAGCAGCCCTTACTGGAACCAGCAGTTATGTTTTATGACTATGCTTTCGACAAATGACGGCTACATGCTAGCACACAGCTGGAACACCCGCTGCTTTACAGATAATATCGCTAATAGCACGCTACGTGTGTATCTTGTATATTTTTCATCCTTTAATAATTGATCATGGCTTTCAAATGTATATTTAACACCACCTACAGGCCAGAGAGGTGGAACTACATAATAACTCATTCAAACTATTGATTTTCGTAACTCCTCAAACTGCCAACCAACCACAAACCGGACTCACAGTCAAACATTACATACTTATACATTTACATACAGGTGTCATTGAAAAGTGTAACCAATGGCACATGTGACAACACACGTATACAATACACATGGTTTCGGTCCATACAACAGACTCCTCACCACAGGCGTTTGAGTCACTGTTTGTCTTCATGTGTTCCTTCAACACGCTGCGTTTCTGTCTTTTTGTGTGCAGGTCTTTAAGCAACACATGCATTTATTTTCACACTGCGTTTATGTTTGTCACCCTCTGCTGCTCTTTTGTCTCTTGTTCTTCTCTCTCCAGGTCACACTTTGCCCTTTTCCTAAACCAGCCGTGCCCTTAGCCGTGGGTTTTTGTATAGCACGGAGACACGCAAAGCCAAAAAAAGGTCCATCTGCCTAATGCGAGCAGCCGCCGTCTGAGGAACAAGGGCTGGAATCACAAAGCCTCTTTAGCTGGCGTGTGTTTGCATGCACAGTCTGCAAGACAAGAAGAGTTTGCACTGTCTGGGTTTTTAAACATTTTAGGAACTGGAGGAGATTCTCTCTGTGTGGGTGGAGACAACGTTCGGCACGGCAAGGAAGAAACAAAGAAGAAAAAGAAGTAATTAACTTAAAAAGAAAACGTGAATTAATTTAGCTCAAACCTGAGCTGAATTTCAGTCGACAAAAGCAGTTCAAAAGCTGGGACTGTTTGTTAACTGTGTTTGGAGACTGAACAGACTCGGGAAAATAAGAACCAAAGATTGGGTTTGAAGGGTTTATCTGATCGGCTTTTAGACTCGAACAACATGACTCGCTGTGTTTCACAGTAAAGTACGACTGCAGACTAATCCTGAAAAGGATTTCTTTATAGCTAGGTTCGATTTAGCACAGTAAAGAAATTGATTTATGATAATATACACTGTCGACTTTGGTAAAACTGTCGGCGTCTGCCCCCACCCCCACAGTCGACCACTTTGCAATCACATATGAAATATCACTAATGAAACGTAATGAAAAACAGGCGGCGAGTGCACGCACGAGACGACAACCCCCACTAACACACATATGTACACAACGGCTTAGCTATTCACAGCTTAGAAACAATCACAGAAACACACACAAAGACGAGTGTGTGAACAGTATTGTGTATGTACATGTATGTCCTTGTTTTTTTTAACTACTAATACATGGTTACAAAGTAGAGACCTGCAAAAATGTCCCCCCACAACCACAAAAAGTAGTCCCCTTCCCCCCAAAAAAGTCCCCACAAGTGTATTTATACACAAAACACATACAGAGAGACAGGCTTGACTTCCAGCTCTCATCAAGCCAAGCCACCATATGGGGATGGGGTCCAGAGCAGAGGGGGATTGGATAAGGGCTGGGACCACACTTAAATGAAGCGACACACAAAGGAAGCATGCATCATTAAATCAGCTTTTCATTACAATAAAGAAGACACCCCATGCTCACACACATACCCTTAAGGTGTGGTGAGCAA